GTGTGTGTGTGTGTGTGTTGACAGATATGGTTACTTTTCAGAAACAATGAACAGTCTGAGAGTGTACATGAATTGCAAGCTTATCAGTTATCCTGGATACAAACTTATCGGTTCGGTAAATTTTTATGATAAAGATAGAAGAAAATGGTGGTGAAAAAAGCACTACATAATTCAAGGCACAGCAGGTAGCATGAGCTTGACATGTATGTTCTTTCCTGTTGACAACTTGAAGAGCAAGAAAGTATATTTAAATGTACTGAAGTGAATGAAAATTAAATAATGATAAGCCTTTCCCTGCTTTTCAATTAAACTCCAAGCCTCAAACATTTGCACCCTTTGCCTGAAGACATTATCTCCACCTTCCTGGACAGCCAACAAATCTGTTCTCTGCCCCAAAAGAAAACTCTATCCCTATTTTTAGGGCTTATTTTTTTCTTTCTGTACAGACATCTGTTGGAAGACAGTTACAAAATCTGTCACTGACCTTGCCCACATAACTTGACTAAAATTAAATACCCCATGGATATAAATTCCTCATAATTATAGTGTTGTGAATTTGGCAAAATATTATGAGTATTCATCTCCATTAAAAACTGAGTAATCACAGAAAACAGGCTGAGACCAAATTCATTTGATATGTCTCATTCATCATGTGATTAAGATTTTTACAAACAAGACTCCATGAATCACAATCAGGCCATCTGCAGTCCTGAACTCAGTAATGCACCCAAGGCTCCCAGATCCAACCGACTGAACAAATCTCATAAGGCATCAGGATGTGTCTTAGAAAGTCAGGTAGCTTTTAACTTAGGTTTTTGTATTGAGATTCGTATTAAATTTGTATATGGATGTGTTTTAATCTTGTATGGTAAAATGACAGGCACTGAGAGAAATGCCTTTAAACAAGGGTTTATTATTTACAGTCCCTAAACTAAGGGTCTAGACATACCATGTGGAACCATATGGGAAAGCGCCAAGGTCAGGAAGGAGGCAGAAAAAGCAAAGAGAAAGCACAATGGTCGAGAGCCTATTTCGTGTACTTCCCTAGAAGAAGGAGTGGGGGCAGTTTAACAATCAGGACCACTTATTTTGAATCATTTCACCACTCTGGTCTATAGGAGTGCTCTCTAGTTGTTCAGTACCCAGTCCTAAAGGTGATTTAAGGCAGAGGAACTATTTGCTTGGTGTGTGACAGCTAGATAAAGGAAGTGCTTAGAGGAATGAGCTCTGAATTGGTTGGTTTGCCTATGAAAGGCACGTGTATGGATAGTCATTTTCTATCTCTGCAAATTAACTAGCCCCGAAAGGGTAAGTCTCCTCGGGATTAATAAAGCCCCCAAGATGTCAAAGCATCATAAAATGCAGAAAATAAGGCAGGATGAATACAAGCTTTCACTCAGTCTGTGTCATCAACACACAAGGTGGGGTGTACAGTCTGTGTCATCAACACACAAGGTGGGGTGTATTAGTGATTGTACATGTTACCTTGGCTGGCGAGGAGGAAGTCTAGGACTATTCTTTCAGGCACAACAGCCATGACTAGTGACTTGAGGCTAACCTGAGTCAATACCTTACAGGGTTGAGTTTTTCCTTTTCAACTGGCAAATGTCTAATGACCAGTCCTATGAGGTGCGAGTGGCCTTATTTTCAGGAGGAAGGGATGTCAATGAATGTTTTCCACAATCTCAATGGAGTATATGGTGCATGAAGAAAAAAGTGTTCTTTACAATTGTTGGGGCCCCCAAGAAGGATGTAAAAGGGGTCTTCAAAAATTTCATGAAAAGATTCACATTGTCTTTTAATTCTATTTTTGTACCACTTTTGAACAACCCTCTTACATGAATCATAGTGTACAGGCTGACAGTGACTCAAGTGTGCTGCCTTGGTGGCCTACAAAGCCTGAGAGTCATTTATCCTGTTCCAATAATTGAGTGTAGTCCTTGTATTTGGAGGAAATCTATGAGGATACCTGGCCCAGCCTGTGCTGACTGTCCATGCAAAGGGTCAGGTGGCATTTGCCCACCACAAGGAATGACTGAGATGGAGAAGAAAAGAACGTCTGGTGGTAACTCACGTGGGAGGTGCAAGAACCGGAACCATTCTCTGCTGTTTTGAGACTTTCATCTTTTTCTTATTCTTGCTGCTACAACAAAGTATCCTAGAGTGGGTAATTTATAAACAAGTGAAATTTATCACTCACAGTTCTGGAGGCTGGAAAGCCTACAACAAGGTGCCAGCAGATTAGGTGGTGGGTGAGGGCTCGTTCCTCATAAACGGAACCTTACAGCTGTGTACTCACAAGGCAGAAGCGGGGAAGGAGATGTCCTGAGATTCTTTTATAAGGGCACTAATCTCGTTCAGAAGGGCTGAGCCCTCATATCATAAGCACCTCCCAAAGGACCCAGCTTTTTATACCATCACTGTAGGGGTTTGGTTCCAACATATAAATCTGGGGTGGACACAAATATTCAGATCATAGAAACTTCTCTCTAAGGTTAATAGGAATGGCAATCAAATCGTGGTCATGGCTGTGTAGCAATGGATGGCAGATCAAGTGGTCAGTTAAACTGAAGACAGTTTTAACAGTTCACACTTCTTGTGCCAAGGTGTTTTTTTTTCCCTGAAGGAAGGCCCCACAGTTAACCATAGACACAACAGGTTAATAATGGCCCTGCATTTCCCACTGCTCCTGGGGTCTATGTTGTTTCCTCCTCAGGTTTAGGTTTGTTATTCTTCCTATGAATCCACAAAATCAGTATCTCCCACTCAAATACCTGTAACTTAACCTTTATTCTTGTCTTTCTCTACTTTCTTTTAGACATTTCATCCAAAAGATCCAGGAAAAATAGAAACAAAGTACCCA